CTCGGATCTGGGCATGGGACTGACGAACAGACTGATTTGCAAAAGGATGGCCGTAGCTGAAAGCCAAACAGTACGTTTGTGCTGGACACCATTCATCGAAGCTTGAAGCCATGTAGCCATCGACGCTGATTTTCATAGACATTTTTCGACATATTCACGAAACTTTTAGCAGCCTTACATGACTGGCGCAATATGCCCATATTCACTTGTTCAGTAGCCAGTTGCACCTGTGCTGGTAGTTCAGTGTGAAACTGGCATTTGCGTATTCTTTCGTTCACCATGTCCGGTTGGCTTCAACTGATCTTCCTGCTTTTACTCATTGACATTGTTTCTACAGCAAGAGGTAACTTGTTGTGTTGTGTCCATTGGTCTAGGCGAAAAAATTAATACATATCGTAGCGCTTGCTTTGTTAGCCGCTACCTTACTTACAGTGTAGTTTACATTAAATATCCACGTTTTACGTCTGTCCTATTTTTGAGCAGTTAGTATCTCTATTAAAAATATTTAATACTTTCGAAACCGTGGAAACAGCTGTTTTTCTTGTAGAAATGTCTTATTACAGCGCTGCAACAGCAAATTCCACTCACACACGTACGCCATTTATCAAATAATACAGGACTGGGTAGTAGTTTGTTAGAAACTTTTAAAGCCTGGGAATTCATCTGTCTCAATAAACGCGTCTGAGAAATCACTACTGTAATTAGAGCACTTTTCTATTTGTCTGAGTTTAATTTTACTCTGAGGGTTACCATCCTTGTATGATTGAAACGATGGCAGAAATATTGCATATTTTTGTTGTTATATTATATTTGATTTGCAGAATGAATGTCCCAAACTAATGCATCAAGAACTCTCGTCGGTCTTTTAGTCAGTGGCACACAAACGATTTGAATTTTAATCTCCAGATGTGATTCGTATTGATTGGTTCTGCCTTTTTGATCTGTATTTGTCCTTATATATTGAAGAGTTTCACAGTAGTACAAATCTTGTAAAAGTTAAATTTTAGAAAAAGGACAGTCGCGTCGCCACCTGCGTAAAGAATTGCGAAGTGAAATAAGGGAGAAGAAGAGAGAGTGGCGGCGAGGGGGGCGTAGAAAATCTGCAGAAGATGACGAAAATGATGATGACGATAACACCACCGCTAAGAAGACAACGGTAGCCCCTAAAAAGGAAACGGCAAAACCAAAAAATGACAAGAAAAAGGACAAAAAAGACAGTAATAAGAAGGATAAGCACGACGAACCTGATATGTGCGATCGAAGACGGAGTTGTCGACGAAGGAAAGGTATGCGCCATTGTGGTATTCCATAAATGATAGCATTATAATAATTTTCAAAACATTTTTTATACGTTTCAGTGGTCCAAATCGAATTTATAATTGATCCAATCGGAATAAATAAAACATTAATTACATATGTTAGTTAAAATGATTGTCATCTTTAGTGGATGATCGCGCACATGCCTTTAACATGGACTATGGTTACCGTCTTCCGCTTTTATGATTTGCTACCTAATTACTGACCCATTTGGAAGCTGTACCTGAGGATATATGGAAGCTGCTAAATCGCCGTTAACGTTACTTCACTGGAGGGTTAGGGTTCTCTTCCTGACCATTCTTAATGGCTACTATAGAAACAAAAAGCATAATTCATTTAAATGCGTTCGAAAATTACAAGAACATGTAAAGTTTAACAAAGCCGGTAACCTCCAAATTCTCTGTGCGCTTAAAAATTAAACCTTAATAGTAACGACATCCACAGCATTTTCTGGAGAACAAAATGCAGAACATATTATCTGCTTTGAGGTCACCGCAAATTGTTTTGACTTACATACAAAAGAAATCGAGATTGTGGCATTTGTTCCAACGGTTCAGCTTTCCCAACCTTGTCTCCTTCAAAAGAGCTTTCTTAACAACTTTCTGCAGAAAAGGGCGTCCTCCAGATGCATTTGCCGACCGACGGATGGTGTTGCAAGGAACGGCCAGTTGTAAAGGTGTTTCGGTATTCTACTGAACGACTGTAAAACAGAAATTACTGTAAGCCGCTGTCGGCACGTTATTTTATAGCGAAATCTTGTTTTAGCGTAGGTGAGCATTTCCTTGTTCAGATTAGCCGAGAGTTTAAGACCGAGACGGTAGACTCTTTGACAAACTCCGGATATCAGGTGAAATGAGGTAGAGTCGCAGAACCGGTTATAGTTTGTTGTCGATTGCTTTTTTTCGCGGTGAAGGCCGCCGACAAACTTGCACGATGAACGATTGTGAGCCACAGATCGTCGATGTAACTGTACTGAACAGAAATTATGACTCAGAACTGTTCTGCCTCACAGATCTGTTGTTTGACTCCGTTTGTCTGACATGATGACGAAAGTGGCGATGCCGGTCGAAAACGACTTGTGTCTAACGATGCCATTAGCACTCCAACCTTCGAGGGAAAAAATGGTAGTAGTTCTTCATTTTAATGTAACAGTATTTGTTTGGCCGAGTGAGTTCCTGTGAATGGTTGTTAAGTTATTTCCAATTTTTTATTCTGTGGTTCCTCATTCATTCATTTTCCAAACTTTCTGCTGCTCTTGTGTCATAGAGGCAGTTACTGAAGAAAACATTTCCAACGCTAGCTGTGCCGCCTCTGACTGGTAACCTCTGCGGTTCAGATACGGTAGTCTACGGGAGTTTAAATTCTTGCACTTGGAGACTCCTTTGCTCAGAAATCAACCTACATCTGTCAGAGCGGTCTTGATTGCACTTTTATGTCATGTGAGAAACGGATAAAGTTTCTAGTTAACCATCAAAGATACTTTCGTTATTACAAGAGTTCTTCTAGACCTTGTTTTTTTCTGTTTTCTTTCGTTTAATTCTTCTTTCCTCCTTTCATCTTCCGCTTTCTGCTCTCGTTTTCCTCCATCTTCATTTTCCTCCTCTTTGTCTTTTTTCCTCCTCCAGTTTTTCGTATTGCTTGTTCAACTGCAGAGGGTGTCATTCCGCACTTCCATGACATGCAGTAGAGACAGCAAAACGTGACACGCCCCAAAACCTTTAACTTTCAGCTGTGAGTCAACCCACAGTCTGCGTCAGATATGGGATGAGTGTTTTGTCATTTACGTTTACATGTGCTATTTTGTTGCAGGGAGAGGTTTCTGTTCGAGGAAGGGCGGCGACAAAAGCTTTAAAAAAACGCCATGTTTTACGAACGCCAACTGTCCGTTTCCATTCACAGAATGCAGAAGAGGTCGTTGCCGTTGCCGGCGTGGCACAAAGCCTGACTGCAGGCGCCGCATGTGCATTCCAAAACGTGAGTATTGGTTCGTCGAAGTGTACCGATTTCGTAAAGTAATCGAATCTTACCGAATTCAGATGCTAATCGTTTGGTCGAGCTAAACCAAACAAATCAACCAAATTGACAATGTCTACTTCAGCTACATACGCATCTTGCAAAGCAGCAATTAAAATTTCGATTAATAGTTTTTCAAAATTAATTTCTTATTTCCTAGGAATTGGGTAAAGTTCATACGCACGTGATCATCTCACTATTAGATTTTTTTGCAGAAACAGTCACGTTTTTTATACACGTTTGTGTTCATGTTAATTGTTGCAGGATTCAGATGCCCGTTTCGCAGAGCTAGGAAATCAAAACGTGTTCGGTGTTCGATTGACCTGGCGACGAACTCCAGCAAATGCGGTTCTAACTTTTTCTGCAGTCCTTTCGACGCCTATCCACCTCCTGATGCTAACGTGACGTCGATTGAGGGTATCTGCTGCCGTCTGCCTCGTCTATTCTGCCCGTACGGAAAGCAAATTCCGTTGCCGAAAGGGAAGCCTTGCGGAAAGGCATGCACCAAATCCAGCGTCAACGGATACTGCTACTGGATCCCTGAAATGAAAATCGGCCGACCGATTTGTTGCCCCAAGCCTTGTCCTGATGGCCTCTATTTTTCCCGTGGCAAATGTAGGGCCTCATAAAATGCTGATAGTATTGTGATTGATGTTTGAGCCTTGGTTTCAGTGCATATTACATGACTCGCATACACCTCATCTAGTCCTTTCTTTCTGCTCATTTGCACATGATAACTTGCAATGCGCGATGCACTCAAAAGTTGTGTTAAATAATTAATTGCCTTTACAAAATAATTTCTGAATTCATCATAATCACTGCTGAGCAGTAAAGAGGAGAACTTTCGATCCTAACGCTCGAAACCTCAAGGAAAGATCGACGTTTTGAACATTATTGAAGTATTTCATGTATTACAACAGCAGCAATAGGGTTTACATATTCTGCTGATTTTCTCTCATAATGGACAGTCAACTTTTAGGCGGGCGAGCCTGAATTATAGCCCTAAGGGCTCTTACATCAGACGGCACGGTCGTACCTCTCATATTGTAGTACTGTTGCGCCAGAACGCCACGTTATCCCTACTGTCTACGTGCTTCCCGTTCTTATTTTTTAGTTTACAGTAAGCAGCAAAAGTTATTCTTCAAAAATGATGAAAAACCATTCAAAAAACTTTTTAAAAGGTCAAAATGCTGCAGTTCCCATCTCTGATCATTCAGCCGGCCATCTAACTATTTTTTTCACTTCCTTATATCATTAATGAACTATTGCCTTCATCAGGAGAATGTCCTTCTTAGTAATTAAACTCTCAAAAATTTCATTATTTTGTTTAGTATTTGATAGGCATGCTGAAATACAACATTAGCATAAAACAGTTTAATTATGCACCGTGATAAACGGCTGATCTACCTAGTATAGACCATTATCAGGGCGGCTAGTCACGGGCCTGCTTCACGTTAAGATGGATGGATGTCGATCTCGTTGTCTTCGATATTTGGTCTGCTTAAGGCTTATGACCGCCATCCTCATCTTGAAGAAGGCTGGTGGGATACAGGTCAAAAGGTACGTTACAATTTGTTACCTGAAAGACAAACGGTTTTGAAGTGTGCATAATTAAATTATCTCATAAGTATAAAGCATAAGGAATTCTTTAGGCCGACGTTTGCAATTTCGTGGCAGCTGCTTTCGGATGCCATTAAGGTTAAGGAGTATATACTCCACCTACCATGCGTTCCTGTACTTTGGTCTCGTTTGGCAACGCATTGCATTCAGAAGCTTTCGTGTTTCTGTCTGATTTAGATTTATTTAAGATTCTGGTACTTTAAGATAAAAAATTAGCTTATCAGTTAAATCAAATAAATTAAATAATGGATACTTTGTACAAAATTGCATTTTGTATATGATGGGTGATAGAGCGCCTAATTTTTATATTGCATTTCAGGGCAGCATTGCATTTTAGCAAAGCAACTGATCAGCTGTAATGATTTAATAAGAGCATTTTTTCTAACAAATTATTAACACCGGAAGACCAGACACTAGAAGGGTTGTTTTCAACTACGTATGCGACAAGTATTCAAAGTCACGCATTGCATTACTGAAGGCGGTATCGACGAGGCATCGTCGTAGCCGGATGAGGAGTCGTTCGATTTCCATGAACGACATGGGTGGGGATGGTTCTTTCGAGAAGTGTCTCAGGGTAGACTTCCACGGCTCGGCTGTCGGCTCATTCATCGAAGACAGTGTCGAAGACCTCGTTAGGAGAGGCCTCGAATAGGCTTGGCAAAACAACAGGTCGTTGACGTTCTGCAGAATGGTGTAACATCGGCGAATGTGGCCTGTGCTGATTTCACACAAGCAGTTGGCGGCTTCTGATTCCATCAGTGCCTTCAGGGAATCCAGTGCGTGGCCGATTTCCATACGGGCCAATGACAGGGTGCGGAAGTCGTCCACTGAAGAGTAGCCAACGGCCACATAATTTCGCCATGCGTCGTTCAGCGTGTTCATGTGCATCAAGCGATCGGTCGAATGCGGTGATGTGTTACGTTGAGGAATGTCGAAGCGATGCTCTGAGGTCTGGATTTTAACGTCCTGCCGAAGTCTTTCCGCTTGATGATCATCGGCAAGGTCTGAACTGCGATACTGAGTGCCCTCGTCTCGGTACGATACCGGGGTGCTGTAACTCTCGCGGGATAATGAGGCGGTTGCCT